TTTCTACGATATTCTTTATGTCATGTTTGTCTTCATGATTTCTTATCAGTAGCTAATAAAGGATTGTTGATATCAAATTATTTTAAAATACTTTTATACTCATCATGAATATTTTAATGGAATTATCTAACCGAATTGCAAATGAACCATTCATTTGTGTGCATCTCGATCATTTTTCTGTTGGAAAACAAATTCAACCACTGGAAAATATTAGATTAAGCGTTGATACAGCCGATCCTCCACAATGTAATTCAATATTCTTTATTTTATATTTTATCGTTTTTTTTTGTTTAAAAAAGTTTTATTGAATCGACCAAAATTTACAACATATAATGACAAGGCTAACGGTTTATATTTTACGACAAGTACTAAACAAGGCTGTCAAATAACTATAACTATTTATATTGATGATGACAAAACGAATTATATTTATCAAACTAAAATTGAAGATTTAATTCGACATGTTGATAAAATTATTCGAGAAGTCAAATTACTTTTTAAAATATTTCAATTTTTATTTTTTTTCTTATTTCAAATAAATTTTTTAGTATCGATTCACAGATGGAGGTCATGCATGGATGTCAATTGAATTGACTAGTAAATTGAAAACAATAAAAATTATAGAAAAAAAAAACGTTTTGATTTTATTGTTAGTACCAAGTAATATCAGAAAAGCGCAATGATCAATCCATAATAGAATACGTAAACATTATGGTCATGAATTTTTACCAAAGTAATTTATCCGACTGATAAATATATAAAGATGATATTTTTTTGTATGTTTTAAGATATTTTACCGTTTTACCTGATTTCTGTAGTGTTTGCAGAAAAATTCTTTGGTAAACTTTTATTTTAAATTTCATTTTTAAAATTTTTTGATTTTTCAAGGGGTTTTAATACACTGGGATATCAATGTTTATTATGTGATTTAGTTGTTCATGAAGAATGTATTAATGATGTAATTACTTGTGAACAATCTTCTGTATAATTAGTAGTAAGTTTTGATATAATTACTTTTTCAGTAACAAAGACGAATTCTTCTTCTTTTTTGTTGTCTTTAAGATTCATAGAGATTTAAAACCTGAAAATATTCTTTTAATGCAAAATGGTCACATAAAATTAACAGATTTTGGTCTTTCTAAACAGTTGATTTATAGAACAGAAACAACACGTACATTTTGTGGTACAGCTGCATATATAGCACCAGAAATCTATCAAAACATAAATTATAATTTTCCTATTGATTACTTTTCTTTGGGTATAACGATCTATGAAATGATCCTATTTGACACTCTATTTAATGGCGTCGATGAATTGGAAATAAAAGAAAATATAATCTATAGAGATTTCCAATATCAAAATACTATTTCATCTGATCTTCAAACAATTTTAACTGGGTTATTAAATAAAAATCCAATAGAACGTTTTGGTATAAATGAACTTAGGACAAGGAATTTTTATTCATCTCCATATTCATTAGAAGATATTGAACAAGAAAGATTACCATGTCCATGGAACAAACCAGTAAAATTTTTTTTTCTAGTATAATTTTCAATATATCGTACATGTTTTTCTTTTTAGATTCCTTCTAATCCTCTACTAAAGAAACGTTTAGCAACAGAAGAACTATGTCTATCATATGTTGATAAAGAAGCAATATGTACGACACTTACAATAAATAATGATAAATTTCGCAATTTTTCATGTATTGATCCTTCATTAAAACTATGATATTATTTACAAAGAAAAAAGTTTTTTTTACCTGAAGACACTCTCTTTTCTTCGATTCCATACACACACACTTAATCATTCGTTTCTCTTTCAAATATAAATTGCTATGTTCTTTTTTTCAGGTTGGTGTGTAATTTTTCTTTTTCTGTTACTTGTATATTTTTGTACCGGTTTCTCTTTTCTTCTCTTTATCGGTTTCTTCTGATCCGAAAAGAAAAAGAAACTCGTATATGCACTCACAAAATTCCATCATCACGTTCTTTTTCTCAATCATTATTATGATGTTTACTGTCAAACAAAAAAATGACATCTATAGAAAAAGTGAAAACTGTTTAGTAAGCATCATTATTTAATGTAAAAATGACGTCGACTATACGTTCGAAATTTACACATTCTCAATCATGTAATCCAAGTATGATACATAGCAATTACTTTTGATTTAAACAAAAGTATATCTTTATATTCACAGATATGTCTCAACAGCCACATCCATTTTTACGTATGCAAATAGTGAATTTTCAAGTGAATAATAATCAATGTGTAAATTTGTCGAATGTTCAAACACAAATTGAACTTAAAGAAAAATATCGATCAACACGAGATAATGCTGAAAGTAGAAGAAAAAAGAAAATTTATAAGATATTATAACTTTGATTTGTTTGTTTTTTTTAAAGAGCCAGCGAAAGTAAAATTTCCGACCTACATTGAAAAAGAGAAATGTATTCCATTTGATGCTGGTTTAATACATAAAATAAAGCGACAAATTATAATTCGAATTCATTGGAATAATATTACTTATACATTCGAGTCAGATTTAGATGCATTAAAAAAAATAGCTGATGGACATCGACATCGAGTATAGAATACAGATTTTTATTTTTTTAATGAATTTTGACATCTTATTTCAATTTAGTTTCTTTTTATACCACAAGCTCAAGCTGAACTGATTGTAAAATATAAAGGTCAATTCATTGAATAGATTAATTTATTTAATTTTAATGTAATTAATATCATTTTTAGATTCCTCTGGACGAACACTTCGTCAAGAGAATATTATACAAGGTGCAAATCGTTATGCTGAACGACGTCAACAAATTTATAAACATTTTGGTCATGAATTTCTACCAAAAGTATTTAAATTACCAACATTTTGTTCTGTATGTTCAGATTTTCTTTGGTCAGTTAATTTTTTTTAGTTAAGAAGAAAAAAAAAATTTATTTGATTGATTTTTAAAGGGGCTTTTCTTATCAAGGTTTTCAATGTCAACGATGTGATTGTGTTGTACATAAAGGATGTTATGGTAGATTCGCATGTCCATGTAAAGGAAAAAAATATCCTGATGTAAGGTTTCTTATTCATTTCTAATATTTATATTATTTTATTGTTTTTCATTTAGCTTAAAATTAATGTTCCTCATCATTTTGAACAACAACCATTTTCGTTAAAACCTGTTTTTTGTGATCATTGTGGTAGTTTTGTTCGACCTGGTCATGCACATAAATGTTCTCGTATGATTTTTTTCCTATGACAAAGAAAAACAGCAAACTGTGCCTGAAATTTTCTGTTCGTTTTTTTTTTCGTTCTAATTAAGATTGTGCAATGACTGTACATCGTCGTTGTATAGCAAAAGTGGGTAATTATTGTGGATGTGAAGAAAATGTTTTAGCATTATATGAAAAATGGAAAGAAACAGTAAGTTGAAGATTAAAAAAAAATTGAACAATTGAATTTAGAATTTGATTTTCTTTTTAAGCATTATGGTGAAGCAGATAATGATTATCAATATAATGGTGATTTATATAATATTTATTCAAGTTTGGATAATACTGATCGATCACAGGATGTTCAAAAAGAAATTGAACGTATATCAAAATGTTATCGATCGAATGTAACATCTGGATTTGATATAAATCAATTTCGATTGATACGTACATTAGGACAGGGAATGAATGGAGCAGTAAGTCTTATTTATTGAATTTGATTTTTATATTTAATAAAAAGCTTTATTTTTAATTATGAGGATTCATAACGATTTATTAGATATGACGATGTTTCTTATGTTCTGTTAATCATAAGAAGAAAACTGATAATTAAGTCATGTATTTTGATCTATTCAGTTCTTTTAAAACATAGAATTCGTTTATTTGTTAAGTATAGATTTTATAATGGAAAATTTTTGAAACCTATTCCTTTTTTTATTTGTTATTCAACTTGATGTGAAATGAGAAATGTGTTTTTTAATGTTTTATAATTATCAATAATTCTCGATAACGAGTTGCATTATACAAGAAATTTATAGTCTTTTTTGAAAGCTTTTTAAAATACATATTACATATGATTTTGTTCGAGAACACTTTGTAGCCAAATCATTTCTCTAGCTTTTTGCACCCTCTTATGATCGCGCCAAACAATATTGATAAAGATTTTTTATGCTTTATGTATTGAAATTTAGATCTTCATGATGCATTTCTTTATCCTATATGAAATTATCTAAACCTTTTTAATTTGAATTCACAGCTACGGAATTTTCACTGCCATAATTTTTTCCTCCATAAGTTCAGTAGTAGCAAAAGAAGTCAGAGATTTTTGAAAAGTAAATTATTTTATAAACAAGAAGCATGAACATAGTTTAGAAACTTTTTTTTGACCATTCCTATAAATTTTATCTACACAATTCATTTTCTCTTATCTTCTGAAGTATGTAGAGTTTCTATTGGTGTGTCAATTGTTATTTAATACTTGATAATAAAATCGATGAAAATCTCTAATAGAACTATACATAAATGATTGTGTTTTTATTATGCTTTTAAGTTCTCTACAGGTCAATATTATTAACTCAATAGAAAACGACAATGAAAACAACTGAATGTATCAAAATACTATGGATAAAACAGTTATTCAAAAACAAAACACATTTTAAAATAATATCTCATAATTTTGATTAATTAATAAAATATTAGAAATCTGCATTGTGGTCACAGTGGTGACCACAAAAAAAGAAAAATAGTTTCTCCGAACAGCTTTTCATAATACGACAAGAAGAATAGCTTGAGTTAGATCGTTGATTCAGAATTTTCTTGTCTTTAAAATGACGTTTAACAGATGAGAATAGAACAATCTCCGACAGAGAAAAATGTTGTACATAGGTCGTGATCAATCACCGTCAGCGCTGGTCACGACTGTGACCAGAATGGAAATCACTAAATAGTACATTTTACAATATTTTACTTTTTGTTAATCAGTTTTTATCTTTCAAAAATAAATGTATATAATTTATATAATACATGTTTCGTTTATCTTTCACTCAAATCATTTGTTAAATTCTTGAATAATTACATATAATCTATGATTCAATATTCATCGGAAAAGCATTCTAAAATATTGTAGTATTTCTTTTTTTTTTAAGAAAACATCAGTACTTAACGAGATAACCATTATTACTATTAGTATATACTTTCCTATCTCTTTTTTAATTCTCACATTACTAGCTATTCTTATGTCATAATTCGACACTTGATGCTTGCAATTCTGTTTTTTTTTATTCTTCTGTATATATTTATAAACTTGCGTTTCAAAATCAACACCTGATATCTACATAAAAATAAATGAGACTTTCTTCATTTAGCTTTAATTGATGTATGACCTTAGTAGTGTTTATTTTTGTTTTCTATTTGATAAATAGGTTTATCTAGCACAATATGGTCGAAATCATTATGCAATGAAAGTACTTCGCAAAAATCTTGTATTAGAAGGACATGATTTACCTTATGTTATGTCAGAGAGACAAATAATGGCTGAAAGTCGATCAAATCCATTTATAACTCAATTAATTTATGCATTTCAAAATGCTGAAAGATTATTTTTCTTAATGGAAGTAGCTCGAGGTGGTAACCTTTATCGTATTCTTTTAAAACAAACACCTCGACCATTTCCATATGAGCGTATTGTTTTTCATTCTGGAGAGATAGCCTGTGCACTTTCATTTCTTCATTCAAAATTTATCGTATGAATTTTTTCTTTTTTTACTTTATTCCAATATTGGTTTTCTCTTGCATATAGGCTTATCGTGATCTAAAACCTGAAAATGTTTTTATTTTTGAAGATGGTCATACTAAATTAGGTGATTTTGGTTTATGTAAACAAAATATTGATCAACACCCCAAAGCAACGACATTTTGTGGTACACAAGAATATATAGCTTATGAAATCTTTAAACATTTTGAATATGATGAAAATGTTGATTGGTGGTCATTGGGTATAATGATCTATGAATTATTCACATTTATAACACCATTTTATGATGAAGATGAAACACAAATCGAAGAAAATGTTCTTTTTAAAGATGTTTGTTATCCTGAAACATTACCAAAAGAAGCTAAAAAAATGATCTCAGGTTTACTTGAACGTGATCCAAAGCGACGATTAGGAAATAAGAATTCACCATTAGGATTGCTAAAAGACCAGCTATTTTTTAAGTAAGGTCAAAAGAAAAAGTAAATCTATGAAAAAATATTTCTTTTAATTTGATTTTTTTATTAGAGAACCGTTTACATTGGATAATATTGAAAATCGTCGAGTCCCTCCACCATGGGTTCCAAATGTATGTATTTTACATAAGAACAAGACGTATTTAATTGAGAATAGCGATGTGGAGTTCCAGTAAACTATGTACCAAAAACTTACATTGACTATCTTAGACTCTCATTTGCTCATTTATCTGACATTTTCATGCGATATGCATGTGTCAATGTTTTCGTGAATACTGATCCAGAGTAGTCAGTAGATTCACTGTCAGTATTTCAGTATTTCAATCGAAGCTATACATTCCTAATTGAGAAAACACTTAGTCAAAGGATCGTTTCAATAGGTTTTTTATCCTTCAAACTTGACCATATTTCACATTTAGCTAAAACATAATCGAGTAGAGACAAATGGAAGCATCATATCAGAAGCTTTTTTGTTTTGATTCTTTTGAGTAGTACCAAACTTCAATCAAATA